CGATGATGCCATCATGTTGCGTTAAGTGTGTCTATTTCAGTAGAACTTTGACAAGTGGTGAGAAGGTGGCCAGGAGCTGGATGTTGTATTCAGTCAGCAAACGTTGTTATATATAATACACTCCACGCAATTTGAAACAAAGTTGTAGGTGTAATGTTTTTTCTTGTGTGTGTGTGTGTGTGTGTGTGTGTGGGGGGGGGTCACAGGGGGATCTCGCACAGGGCGCCATTTAGGCCAGCTCCGCCTCTGACTGCAGACCCGCAGATTCACACCTGCAGCAGCGAATCTGGTGTGATCTCCAGCCTGATCACAACTTCCTCGTTCCTCGCTGCCCCTGATGCACTTAATCATCCGCCCCTTAGCTGATGACAGCTTCAACACACCTCGTTGCTTAATGATAGTAATGCATGTGGTGTTTAGACAGAGACTCGTCTCAGAAACGTATAACTCCCCGACAGAATTGTTTAGAAAATCATCAGAAAAGTTTTAGAGTGTTTCTGTTTTAACTTAAACTTCTGTGTTCAACTTTAACTTTCACGTTGTTTGTGATTGTTTAGAGTAGTGAGAACACGGAGCGTTCTCCCAGCGGCAGCCAGGTGCCTCTCGTTTGTTTAACTACTTTCATGAACTACTGTTAAGGCACAGAATTATTCTGTCTGGTGCTTTCAGCGCTGCACAGATGTTACGTAAATGTTAAAAATATAGCTTACCGCAACTTTTGTAAAGTTTCCAGTGCCATCGGGCAGCCGAAGAAGAGACGATCTCTGAAAAATGTCCACGACACGGACTCCGTTGTTGCCTGGAAGTTTTTTTTTTCAAGTTAAGAAAAGAGGCGGACGTGTTTCCTAAATCCTGCATCAGTCCAAGCAAGGCATTCCGTTTTAGTAGCCATTAGCACTGTGCATTGTTGTGTGCGTCAGTGATATTCTGTCTACGAGGAAGTCGTGCAATGACAAAGGTTCCGTCGTGCTCGAAATGCATGCTGCGATTAAATGCGTGAAATTTTTTTAGCGTGTCGTTTTTTTTTCTAATTAATCAAAATAACGCGTTAAGGTCCCAGCCCTAAAAAACTCAAAGATAGGGGGGCTTGTGATTATTTTAGGGGGGCTGAAGCCCCCCTAAAACGGACCTAACGACGTCAGCGCTATGGAACCTCACTTTTAGAGATTTTTGATCCCCCTTGTCTTTTTTTGTTTCTGTTCCTTGTTTTTCTTTTTTCATTTTTCATTCTTTTTTTATTCTTATTTATTTTTGTATTGGTTATTCATCTTTTTATATTATTTTATATAGATGTGTGAATATGGTTGTGTATGTACACATGTGTATATGCAAATATATGTATATATGTGTGCGTGTATATGTTTACTATTAGTTATTGTCGATCTCACTGTGATGTATAGGAGATGTGACTCTGTTCTGTTTGTTTTAATATGTCGCTTTTCTCCTTCAGATTGGTATGGAAGCCCATTCCCGCCACTCAGATAAAATTTAAAAAAAGTATTATCTCATAATTATGACTTAGCTATCTCATTATTATGAGATACTATCTCATTATTATGACTTAGTATCTCATAATAATGAGATTGCATCTCATTATTATGAGATACTATCTCATAATTATGACTTAGTATCTCATAATTATGACTTAGCTATCTCATTATTATGAGATACTATCTCATTATTATGACTTAGTATCTCATAATTATGACTTAGTATCTCATAATTATGACTTAGCTATCTCATTATTATGGGATAGTATCTCATAATTATGACTTAGTATCTCATAATTATGACTTAGCTATCTCATTATTATGAGATACTATCTCATTATTATGACTTAGTATCTCATAATTATGACTTAGTATCTCATAATTATGACTTAGCTATCTCATTATTATGAGATACTATCTCATTATTATGACTTAGTATCTCATAATTATGACTTAGTATCTCATAATTATGACTTAGCTATCTCATTATTATGAGATAGTATCTCATTATTATGACTTAGTATCTCATAATAATGAGATAGCATCTCATTATTATGAGATACTATCTCATTATTATGAGATAGTATCTCATAATTATGACTTAGCTATCTCATATTTATGACTTAGTATCTCATAATAATGAGATAAATTCTGCTGGCCTCCACGGACTTCCGTTTTTGCACTTCCATATTTTTCAAACTGCAGCAGCAGCGCAGCACACAACTTCGTTCACGCTGAGTGGTCAGAATGGCTATTTGTACGCGTTTGCTGCTAGACCTCCCAAGAATAATGGTTAACGATGTACACCGAATCTTTCTTGCCTCGTCCGAAATGCCAAAATCTAGTATGGACAAAGCTTGTATTGTATGTGCCCGGCTACATACACAGCTATGAAGGTAAGCTAACAAACTTCTGCTGTGAGTTACTAAAGATGCTACACGCTAGCTCTCCACTAGCCTAAGTTAACACAATAAGGAAACGTTATTGGAGCGATAAGTAAGGTCATGCGTGTTTTTCGTGTCTGAAATTTAAAAAAAAAAACAGTTTTTATGTTATTCTCAGTTTTAATCATGCAGTCAGGAGAGGTCACGGTTAGGTCCGAGTGTTTCAGGTCAATGAGTTTCTGTGTGGAGGGGCACCAACTAAGGAGATGCCACATCACTTCTACAAAATTTAGATAAGTGTGTCACACCAGGGCAGAAGGTTCTGCTGAGAACCTTGTGAAACAGCCTATGTGAACAAGTAGTCAGACTGATGACAAATGTTGGGGTCTTGCTTTGGAGCCTACAGCCATCAAGGAGTACTGCAAGGTAATAGAGGTAAACCACTACCCTTGTGGGGTCCTGATCCACCTTGAGGCACCATGGATGGGTTCAACACCAGATGGGATTATGTATGATCCTGAGGGCAGCCTGAGTGTGGCCTGCTGGAAATAAAATGCCTAAATGTGTGTAGCTTTGTGGATTATTATGTTCAGAAAAGGTTTACTCTCTGTGGCGATCTCATCCTCATTACTGGCAGGTCGGTGTTGACTGTTGATTTCTCCATGTGAGTGGTGTGACTTTGTTGTTTACACCACAGATGACATGTTTATTCAGCGAGTTCCCCGTGACATGGAAGTCATACAGACACTATTGTAATGTTTTCATTGCTGTTTAAATGTAAAGACTTACTGTGGGGGAAATTCAATGTAAATCTGCAGTAAAATTAAATAGTTCTGCACTTTCTTGTTTGTGATGTTTTGTTTGCTAGCTGAGTAATCATTTTTAAATGGCTTCAGTTTAGTTTCAAAAGATAAGATTTAAATTAAACGAATTAAAGAAGACTAAACAAAAAACGATGACTTATTTACCACAAAAGTGTTTGAAACCATAAACTTTCAATTTCTTTTTTTATTACAAAACCATTTTAAACATACAAATACACATTTAAGCATGATATAGGTTTTTTTTTTAATTTTAAGAACTCTATCAATTGAGAAATTAATCATAACTTACTTTATTGCTGAGGTTTTGTAAAGGTACCGCATCTCAAGCCCTCAGAAGGGCACAGCACCGTTGAAGATCATCTGAGTGAAAGCTTTAAATGCAGTACCTTTATGGAAGTGTGTAAATATACAGTGTGGTTGCCCTACATGACTTGAGGTGCTCAGACATCAGGCTCCTTTGTGGGAGTGACTTGTAGGAGGAAAACACCTCACTCTGGAGGAGAGGGGAAGATGGACATTGACACATCAGCTCAGTGCAGTCAAGAATGACTGTGGTGTCTGGGTGGTCCTAAAAGTCTGCAGGCAGATTTGGCCTTATCTCCTCCTCTGGTATCCAGATCCTCACAGAGCCAAGTTCTTGATTTTCATCAGACCGACTACAGTTGTGTTTCAGAAAATCTGTCTCTGCAACTAGCAATAACCCACATACATACTTCTCAGCTCCCCATCAGAGGGAATGAAAAAAATACAGAATTGTACCTTGCTGATGCCTCTGTGTGTGTGTGTGTGTGTGTGTGTGTGTGTGTGTGTGTGTGTGTGTGTGTGTGTGTGTGTGTGTGTGTGTGTGTGTGTGTGTGTGTGTGTGTGTGTGTGTGTGTGTGTGTGTGAGCAAACTCGCATGGTACACCCTGGACAGGTTGCCATTATTTACATTAAATAACATATATATGTTAATTTAATAAAATACAGTATATGTTATTTAATAACATATACTGTATTTTATTACTGTGGAAACATTTTAGGCAGGTGTGGAAAATGCTGAAAATAATGCTTTCAAAAATGGAAGTGATAATCATTCATTTTCATCAGTCAGCAAAAATCAGTCAATGAACCTAATAGAAATGTAAATCTATATTCAGTGTGATCACCCATTGACTCAAAAACAACATCAATTCTTCTAGGTACACTTGAATGCAGGTGTTGGAAGAACTGGGTTGGTATGTTGTTCCAGACATCTTGGAGAACAGCAGAGAGGGGAAACCTGATAAAAAGAAAATGGCAATTCTGACACCCCCGTAGTAAGTGGACAGCAGAAAAATCAGAAACTTCTTTTAACAGTTTGGATTACAATTATATATTTTACCACATTATTAGGTCTACACATCCACAGTGAGTTAAATTATAGTGCCATAAAACCATTTTACTTTATGATGCGAACAACAATCGCCAGAATGGCAGCTGTCAAACTGACGGCTGGTGGGAGAAAAAAAGCACAAAGTGAAGAAACCTTTACAAAACCTCAGCAATAAAGTAAGTTATGATTAATTTCTCAATTGATAGAGTTCTTAAAATTTAAAAAAAAAACTATATCATGCTTAAATGTGTATTTGTATGTTTAAAATGGTTTTGTAATAAAAAAAAGAAATTGAAAGTTTATGGTTTCAAACACTTTTGTGGTAAATAAGTCATCGGTTTTTGTTTAGTCTTCTTTAATTCGTTTAATTTAAATCTTATCTTTTGAAACTAAACTGAAGCCATTTAAAAATGATTACTCAGCTAGCAAACAAAACATCACAAACAAGAAAGTGCAGAACTATTTAATTTTACTGCAGATTTACATTGAATTTCCCCCACAGTAAGTCTTTACATTTAAACAGCAATGAAAACATTACAATAGTGTCTGTATGACTTCCATGTCACGGGGAACTCGCTGAATAAACATGTCATCTGTGGTGTAAACAACAAAGTCACACCACTCACATGGAGAAATCAACAGTCAACACCGACCTGCCAGTAATGAGGATGAGATCGCCACAGAGAGTAAACCTTTTCTGAGCATAATAATCCACAAAGCTACACACATTTAGGCATTTTATTTCCAGCAGGCCACACTCAGGCTGCCCTCAGGATCATACATAATCCCATCTGGTGTTGAACCCATCCATGGTGCCTCAAGGTGGATCAGGACCCCACAAGGGTAGTGGTTTACCTCTATTACCTTGCAGTACTCCTTGATGGCTGTAGGCTCCAAAGCAAGACCCCAACATTTGTCATCAGTCTGACTACTTGTTCACATAGGCTGTTTCACAAGGTTCTCAGCAGAACCTTCTGCCCTGGTGTGACACACTTATCTAAATTTTGTAGAAGTGATGTGGCATCTCCTTAGTTGGTGCCCCTCCACACAGAAACTCTGCAATTGTGTTCTGTTCTCAGCTTTGTATGATTTCCCCAATGATGTTGTGAGGGATGTGAAATGATGATGTTCAGTAAACACAAATGCACATGCAGAGGGTCCCCGTCTATAATGAGAGAGAGACAGTTGTGGGAGAGAAGGGTTGTCTTTGTGTGGACGCGTCCTGGGGGCCGTCCTCACTGGTAGTTGGTAAGATGGCCCGCTTCCCTCCTGCACCGAACCAAACGTGGACCCAACCAGAGGTACATCACCAGAGACAGCCATGGTTGTCATCACCGGAGCCTCATCTGCACCAAGTCTGTGGTACGCCTCCTGCACCTTCAGAATGAAGCTGTCATCGGGGAAGCTGACTCCTTTTTACAAACTGCTTCTTGGGAAGAAAAACAAAAGTCAAATGGGGTGTGTGCATGTGTGTGTGTGCGTGCAGTCCAGAAAGAAAAACATACCTTGTTCATTCTACCGGTCTCTTCTCTCTTTGTCTGGCTGATATGATGACCATGTCATTAACTGGACCTGGTTTAATACCTTGTTTCCAAATAAAAACACGTTTAAATGTTATAACAGAAATATGTATACACATAATAATAGTATCATTAAAAGATTGTAACCTTGGTCCCCGTTTTGTGCCACTGTTGTTCAGTTTCTGTGCAGCTGAACACTGTGTGTGTGTGTGTGTGGGGGGGGGGGGGGGGGGGGGGACCGATGTAAGTTTCAGCTAGGAGAAATGTGCCGTCTGGTAGAGTTGAGCTGCCACATGACATCACAAGGCTGCACCTGCCACACATACACTGGCACCCCCACCGGCTTTGAATCCCTTAGCACAATCTGTTACAACACAGAATATTTGTTAGAGTACAACTGCATTTAAGGAGAGACAAACATTGATGATTAACTTCACTTAACTCATTTTAAAATAGAAGAGTAGAACAAGTAGTGGACAAAAATAAAATAACTGTAAACAATGTTGTGCTTCTGCGAGTCATCTAATGTTTGACTTTCTGTGACATGCTATTTATACAAACTTTACTTACTTTATTCTTTCTGGGACACATTTTATCTCTGATACCACATGACACACGTAGTTCAGGCATGTCATTAACCTGTTATCAAACTAAAAGCAATGATATGACTCGCAAAAATGTGACGTTTAAAAACATGAACAGTCTTCTTTTGAACCTGAATCAATCCTGCACTGAACCTGCAGGGAAACGTTTCCCTACACTCAGACGGTGGGGCTTCTGGTTTTTCCTCATTGACCTGAAACACTCGGACCTAACCGTGACCTCTCCTGACTGCATGATTAAAACTGAGAATAACATAAAAACTGTTTTTTTTTTTTATTTCAGACACGAAAAACACGCATGACCTTACTTATCGCTCCAATAACGTTTCCTTATTGTGTTAACTTAGGCTAGTGGAGAGCTAGCGTGTAGCATCTTTAGTAACTCACAGCAGAAGTTTGTTAGCTTACCTTCATAGCTGTGTATGTAGCCGGGCACATACAATACAAGCTTTGTCCATACTAGATTTTGGCATTTCGGACGAGGCAAGAAAGATTCGGTGTACATCGTTAACCATTATTCTTGGGAGGTCTAGCAGCAAACGCGTACAAATAGCCATTCTGACCACTCAGCGCGAACGAAGTTGTGTGCTGCGCTGCTGCTGCAGTTTGAAAAATACGGAAGTGCAAAAACGGAAGTCCGTGGAGGCCAGCAGAATTTATCTCATTATTATGAGATACTATCTCATAATTATGAGATACTAAGTCATAATAATGAGATAGCTAAGTCATAATTATGAGATACTATCTCATAATTATGAGATACTATCTTATAATAATGAGATAGCTAAGTCATAATTTTGAGTTACTAAGTCATAATTATGAGATACTATCTCATAATAATGAGATAGCTAAGTCATAATTATGAGATACTAAGTCATAATTATGAGATACTAAGTCATAATTATGAGATAGTATCTCATAATAATGAGATAGCTAAGTCATAATTATGAGATAATAATTTTTTTTATTTTATCTGAGTGGCGGGAATGGGCTTCCATAATATGGTCATTGTTACTGTTCTAAATAAAGTTCATTAAAAAAAAAACAGTTACCGATGGCGGGACGTTTAAACAATGGATACCTCCGTATAGAGCTCCGGGAGCTGACGTCACTTCTCCCGGCATGCAACAGTTCAAATCGAAACGGCGCCATATTGGCATGCAGAAGCCGGCAGCTGGACTATTTATTATTGTCAGAAAACTCAATCAAACGGGAAATATGGTAGATTCCTGTTGTGCCCCAGGATGCAGAATAGACGCGGACGACATAAGGAATGAGCCATCTACAGGATTCCCCAAGATCCGGAGCGCCGCAAACGTTGGATCATTGTAATAAAACGCACTAGTGACCGGACGAAAATGAAGCTGTGGGATCCCGAGAGTAAAGGTTTTCGCTTATGCAGTGACCACTTCATATCAGGTACTTAAACCAACGTTTCCTCAACTGTGTATGGTATTTATTTTAAATGTTTTTATTATGATTCTTAGTGGGCTTCCTAAACTTATTTTGGCGTGGCTTTTTCTGTCTTATTACTCATAGCAGCAAGTAAACATCACGTAAAACGTTGCCTCGTGAGTTCTGCGTGCTGCCGTTTACGTGTTTTATGATGACAGCAATTAACCGGCTAAGCTGTATTTAATTTTTAAGCAATGGTTGATCAATCGTCAGATCACACATAAAAAGCACTTTGGATTGCTATTATCTGTGTCACCGAGACTACTTACGTGTAAATCTGTTATTTGTCCGTCCATCCATCCATTTTCATCCGCGTATCCGGAGTCGGGTTGCGGGGGCAGTAGCGTGACTTCCCTCTCCCCAGCCGCCGGAGCCAGCTCCTCCGGGTAAGTCCCAAGGGGTTTCCCCGGCCAGGTCCGGTGTTGTGCCGGTAAGAAGTCCGCTACGACAGCTTCTGGCGTTTTTAAAAAGTATCCCAGGGGCACGGTAAGGGTCGGAGATGTTTAGTCTATTTAATTTCTGACTATATAAAACGATTTCTTCTGTTTTAAAGTGTGAAGTAAACTCCGACGAAGTAAAATCCAAGCGGATCCCGTTCATGTTCATGGTTACATCCGTGTTTGTTTACCTTTTTTGCATGCCAAAATGGCGTCCACTAACTGAAAGCCACGTGGGGTCCGGAGCTCTATACAACGAAATTCATGATTTTCTCCTCAACGGAGAGCTTCCGGCGATTGAACAAAAGCGCTGTAAAATAAGAAGAATGGCGCCTAATTACAGACTTAAAGGTAAGTACGATAATTAAAGATGATCTTTTATCATGGTCTACAGGATGCAGGATGGCGCCGCAGATGGCAGCCTCGGTACATTGCTCTCTTTTGTTTGTGTTGTTATTGTATATATTTTTTGGAAATCAGCGATGCAAAACGGATTACTTTCAGTAGAGATGAACTACTGGGTATCAGGCAACAAACCACAGAAACGGATTTTCAAAAATTTGAGGACCCGGGGAGTTTATTGGAAGTTTTGATCGGAGGAACTGCTGTTTGTTGGAGAAGGAAGCGCAGGAGGGGTAAACGAGCAGGATCGCTGGTGAGACTCCGCCAACGGGGATTTCGTATGCCTCTCCCAGCAATACACCTAGCGAACGTCCGATCCCTACCTAATAAAATGGACAAGCTGGTCCTTCTGAACAGGACCAACCGAGACTTTGCACACTCCGCTGCCCTCTGCTTTACGGAAACGTGGCTCAGTGACTTGATTCCTGATAATGGCTTATACCCAAGGCCGAATTAACCATATGGGCAACTGGGCAATTGCCCAGGGCCCACAAATTCTAAAGGGCCCAGGGCAGCAAGGGCACGAGCAAAATACTGTATCTGTAATCTCCCGCTTTATATTAAACTAGTGTGACCGTATACGTCCTGTTTTCCCCGGACATGTCCGCTTTTCACTTTGTCCGGGATGTTCGGGTTCTTGTATTGATGAAAATGTCCGGCTTTTCATCCAGGAGCAGGGATGGGGGGAGCTGTATATCCTACACATCCAGGGGAGCCGGAGAAAAGTTTTCCACCTATATTACTATATTATCATTCATGGATTCTTTTCAGCAGAGAGTGGCAGAGCGATGATCGGTGCGCAGCGCTCCAGGCTGCTGCGTCCAGCGCACGGTCCATTCTCAAAGTGTATGGGGTGCCATTTGTAAAGTCAAACAGTCATAATCTAACAGCAGTATTTTTGGTTATTTAGCATATCGTAAGAGAAAAAATTGGGAGTTCACTTTTTCGAAGTCATATTTTCACCATGTTATTCATACATTTATAAATGTTAAAGTTTCCAAATAAATATTTAGTTAGCAAGCTAAATATTTAATTTACAGTTAAATATTTATTTTGCAAACTAAATATTTAGGTCTGATCTAAATATTTAATTTGTAAAATAAATATTTAATTCACTAACTAAATATTTAATTTACTAATTAAATATTTATTTTGGAACTAAATATTTAATTTGTAAATTAAATATTAATTTTGTTAGTTACATATTTATTTTCCAAAATAAATATTTAGATCCCAGCTAAATATTTATTTTGGAGCTAAACATTTAGTTTGCAAAATCAGTATTTGGGAAATAAATATTTAAGTCTGACCCAAAAATATAGTGTGGAGCTAAATAACATTGTGGAAAATAAATATTTAGCTGGTACTTAAACATTTAGCTAATATGCAAATTCGCTTGCCAATAAGCGGAAGTTGGTTACCAAAATAAAAGCTGGATCTCGCTAACCTCTTTGTGAACTCTTGCTCCGAACCAGAACTTGTTTTGTCTCCGGTTCTATTCTTCTGAACATATCTGACGTGTTGGCTGAAAACATAGGACGAGCCGTTCTTACAGCAATACGGTCTTTTACAAATGGATCGGCACCAGCATCCGTCACAGAACCACCGCAACCAGTGGTAAGTTCATGACCGACCTGTATTAGCCTTAGCCCAGCTAGCTATAGCGCTAGCTAAGCTAAAACAGTTATATAAATGCTTTTTAAATTATTTTTTTAGCGGGGAATTTGTGTATTTCTGACTATTGGGTTAACGTTTTATCTAGCTAAATGATATTTCTTTTAAAAACAGGTTTCCTCTCGGGCCACCGATGCAAATCTGAGACCAATCGTTGCAACCACCTCCAATGGAGGAGCATCGAGCCGCTCGGTAAGCATTTTCTCAAGTTTCCTATTATTTGACAAGCCCTTTGAACATTAATCAACTATTAATTTTTAATATTGTAATAACTATTTTAGCTTATACAAATATTATATTTACTAGTCATATTTGAAAATAAAGATATACACTACTATACTGTTATAAATTATATTTAATGTCATCCATATAATACCTGGAAGTTTGGCTGTCCGGAAAATCTCAAGATCCTAACCCTAACCTAACTCTAACCCTAACTTCAAAGGAGGCAATTTTAACAATTATTCGGCAGGCTGGATATGTTCCAGATATCAATAAATCCATTAGATTTTAATAAAAATAAATATTCCAAATAGCCAGTAGCATTATTACTATTCACAATGCACATTTAAGATATCTTGAAAGTAATTCTAAGACAAATGTCGCATATAAACATCATTCCAGCTATCTATTTTTGTATTTTACATCTGAACATATTTTTCAACTTGTACTATTTTAACTTTAGATGGGCAGAACTACAATCTTAAATGGCATAATTATATTCTGACCATCTGTTTTGGAATTGTTCATTCCTCCTATCCATAATGCTGTTTTTGACAGCTTGAAATTGGAATCAAAAACATTTTCAACTAGAAAGATTTCAGTTTCTACTATAATGTCCATTCAAGACAGAAAGAACCATAAATGCTCAAATGTAAGCAAAAAGTAAAATACTGCTGCTTCTAATATTAAATGTAACTACACTGTTTACAAACACATTTATGGTGACAACGTTTACACCTCACTCCATTCATTAGATATTAATCTAATGATCCACAATTTAATTAACACAAATATTATTTTTATTTTTCTGCTTTTTAGGTTCATGAGAACACTAACCACCCAGAACTCCCGCAAGACGCCAATTACTCGGTGAGTGTTGGATATTTTTCTAGAGTTGATTGTGTTACCACTTTTAATTGCTTATTCTAATAATTACCTTGTTGGTAACAAGAATACATTATTTGGGCGACGGTGGCACAGGAGTTAAGAGCTCGCCCCGTAATCTGAAGGTTGCAGGTTCAAGCCCTACTCAGTCTGTCGCTGTCATTATGTCCTTGGGCAAGACACTTAACCCACCTTGCCTGCTGGTGGTGGTCGGAGGGACGAGTGGCGCCAGTGATCAGCAGCCTCGGCTCTGTCAGTGCGCCCCAGGGCAGCTGTGGCTACATCGTAGCTCATTCCCACCAGTGTGTGAATGTGTGTGTGAATGGGTGAATGTTGTAAAGCGCCTTGATGGGTTCCAGGACTCTAGAAGGCGCTATATCAAAAACAGGCCATTTTGTCAATGACTGGAAAAAATTTGGGTAAAAAATGTCTAATATTTCTTTTTACCAATTTAATTTAAGTTGACAAATGGGGTCATAGCATCTGATGTTCCACAATTTTATGTTCGTCTTCGTCTTCGTCTTCCTCCGCTTATCCGGGTCCGGGTCGCGGGGGCAGCATCCCAGTTAGGGAGCTCCAGGCCGTCCTCTCCCCGGCCTTGTCCACCAGCTCCTCCGGCAGGACCCCAAGGCGTTCCCGGACCAGATTGGAGATGTAACCTCTCCAACGTGTCCTGGGTCGACCCGGGGGCCTTCTGCCGGCAGGACATGCCCGAA